GCAGATGTAGTTTATCATCTTACCCAGGGTGCTCTTTACTCCGACATCCAGTGTAAAATATATATGCATGTCTGTATTTATGTGCGTACCTCTGATGGTACCACTAGCTAAAATAATAAAAATCTGCCATCACATCATGTTGTGGAGCTCTACCCTTTTTACATAAGATGGACTCGTCCAAAGTATACTTATACTGACAGAGAGAATACCTGCTGTTGAGATACGTTGAGATACGTGGAGATACGTTGAGACAGGTTGAGAGATACAGAGACAGACACAGGGTGTTCTCAGAGAGTTATACAAGAGTCCAGAGAGAGAGAGATGATTACGGCTTTACTTACAGAGACTTGTACATATACTTTCTACTAACTCGCATTCCTGGACTACTAATGTTCACTTCTGTATTCTTACGTTTAATACACTTATCTCAATTATTGGCGTTGTTTATTTATTTGTGCAGGATTCCATTCCCGGAATCCACATCACATCACCAATCAATACTATTTTACGTTTAATAGTGATATTTACAAACAAAATTTGGATTACTAATGGAGTGATGGAATGTATCTTCTTAGAATTTCTGGAATCTGGTTCTTTCCAAAATATTTTACCTAAACAATCAACATAATTCTGATATATTGATCATGCACTATTAATATATCCCCGTGATACTGATTAACCTGATCGTGTAGATAAATTCGAACATACAATAGAATTTACATAGGAAATTGAAGAAAACAATTCTTTAACTTTCTTCGATAGCATGCTACACAGCGGTAAACATAGTTTATAACATTGTGCCCACCGGAATCGACAAACAAAAACGATCTAATAAATTTCTAATCTCGTCATAACAACAAAATAAAATCCGGTATAATCATCGGATTCTACTTAAGAGCACTCAGAATTTGCAGCCCTCAATATTTATATGAGGAGGAGAAATACATTGAAAGCACTTCAGTACACAGATTATTTTATATACAATGTGAATCAAATGGGTCATAAAATATCTCAAATTAGAAAACGGCTCTTCATGACAAACACAATGAATCAAAAAATATATTGTTCTACTAGCTAACTCTATCACAACTACAATTAAAAAGCACTTTTCCAAAGTCAATATTAAATTTGTTACTACTACATCTAAAACAATATTTACCCATAGCTAGGAGAGAAGAAGAGGATTCACACCGTTCCCAAGGGTATTAGCACGTAAATGAATGTAACGTATTCCACTGGAATTCGAACTTGACCCTCCGATTCCTCAATATATATATATATATATATATATATATATATATATATATAGGTGGACTCTCACGTCGGGGACGACAAATGAGGACTCAGTAAAATAAAGAGGTGCTCAATTAATATGGACTTGCAGCTGTTTTTCAAATTTTTAGACAGATGGTACATGCAGATGAGCCATTTTGTTCCAGTGGTTTAGGATCTATTGGCACCTGTTACCGCGAATGGTCAGCAATGTCTGCTTTACTGAAGTGCGGCAAAGTCGCAGTAGCAGGTAAAAGGCTATCATTGAGATGAGCTCCGTGCTGCCAACTTTTTTTTTAAATATCTGCACGCAGTTGATCCCAATATTCAAGTCTCGGCATCGCTCAAAACTTTGTATAGATGAGAAGCAGGACAGGCGACCAGCTCGTTCGTTATGACGCTTTGTTTTCCCGGGAAGAAAAGTGGATGGCAACTGATCTAAAAGAAAGACAACTCTGAATTCAAAACCTGTGGAGGGTCATTTGGGGTGCACGTAGTGCACCAGGTCTCTGTATTCGGCCCTTCAAAAAGTGTGGATGGTCCTGCACGAAACCTTCACCACTAGAATGAAATCTCATGTGCTGTTATCGGGCTATCGGTTTCCTAGCAACTGATCTGCTTGATCCTCATACGTCGAAATCGACCTGAGATATATATATTCTGTTGTATGGATATGATTTTAACGCTTTTGAGATCATCAGATAAACTCTGTCCTTATGTGATAATCAGATAAACTCATCAGTTTGTCTGATGATTGGAAGCCTAAAACCCGGGGTCACAAACTCATATCCATACAAAAGAATGTTATTTCTATTATTATTATTATTATTATCATTATTATTATTATTATTATTATTATTATTATTATTATTCAATGAGGGGTCAGATCGCCAGACGCTGGTGTACAAATATATGGAATCCATCTGCCCATCATGACACCCAGTCTTATAAGGTTATACCAGGCACATGCATTACAGCCAAATATTATTATTATTATTATTATTATTATTATTACATCGTACACTGATGTCTTCAACTGGAACTCTGTTCTTGAAGCATAGTGTCGACAAGACTCCTCACAAAATATATTCGGATAGCCCTCGCTGAATAAAGAATGGCAGTTTTCTGGTGCTATACAATCTTAGTCTCAGTTCCACTTATAACTACAGGAATTACTTCAAAACTCGTGTTCCATTTCAATATTTCCCTTTACACTGATGTCATATTTTCAATCCTAATGGATTCTATTATTATTATTATTATTATTATTATTATAAAAAGTTCTCTTAAAATTTCTTCTTTGGTAAATTACTTGCCGAGTTCCAAACAGTTACCGGGGGCAAGAAATGTCAGCCAAACATTTCAGCAAACAAAAACAAAAAATACCACAAATCGCATGTTGTCAGTACCACAGAAATCTCCGTAATAGATGGTTAGTATGTTTTGGGGATTTTTTGAAAAGAACTTTTTCCAGATATCCTGTTCAGAAACTTCTCTATTTCTTCTTTAATCATTCAAAATCCCCCACACACGATTACGGGGATAGTAGTTTCTCTAAGATGACACGTTTTCTTTTTTATCATTTTTAGTTGAAGGTCTTAATATTGACTCAAATTCTTTACAGTCCTATAAACTACATCCGGCATCAAGGGCCTATGATCGAGAGATTCGAGGTTTGGAGGGGCGTGGTAGCACCTCTTAATTGCTGTTACTCCCAGGTCCACCCTGGCCCGGGGTAGTAGAACCTGTTCCAGTTCCAACTATAGGCAAATAGTGACCCCCACTCCAAACAAAAATAAAACAATATAAAAGTATAAACATACATTTTTATAGTAGACATTCTAGCAATACAGTTTTATAGAAAAATTACCAACAATACATTTTATCTGTAGCTGAAGTCATACAGTTCTGTTCAAAATATCTGTAGTTGAAGAAATATTTGGATTTCGACATTAAATGAACCATAGGGAGGTGGATATACCGCTAAACAAAATCAGCCAACTAATCGACCGACTGAAATCTTCAAACGAAATATTGCGATCGTTTGGTGCATTCATGTCTATCAACAGATAAACCCGATTTTGGTCATCTTTTACAATTATATCTGGTCTGTTTGCTTTGATTGTTCGATCTGTGTTCACAGGAAAGCCCACAAATTATATTTTTTATTATTATTATTATTAGTATTAGTAGTAGTAGTAGTAGTAGTAGTGTTCCGCTCGACCATTCGCTTCAGATGTTCAAATGAAGGATACAAGTATAGATGGTCTAAGAATTCTGAGGCATTGTTTTAAACCAGGGTTTCTTAACCTTTTGATGATTCCAGACGCCCAATGGATTGTCCAATATGGTCCCATACCCGCTTCACTTGACTGTTGAAATAATTATCACCAATCCTATTATTTGCCAGTATGTCTTCCAAATATTTCATTCGCTTGAATTTACTTTACTTTAGATATTGATTGCTAGGAATAAAACAGGAAAAAGACCATAAGAATTGATAACTTTATTTTTTTACTAAAAGCAAAATAAATTTATAATTCAATTTTATTTCACAAGAAAAAGGAAAAGAACATAAATGTACAAATTTTATTTAGTACTTCGACCATAATAAAACAGACTTTTACTAATCTAGTAAGATATTTGCTGATTTTTTTTTTTTTTTTTGTTCAATCTGTCAAACACAACACGATGGGGAACTACCAGTACCCAGAAATCGAGTCCCATACCCCCAGCATTTGGTTCCCATACCCCCAAGGAGTATGGATACCCCCGGTTAAGAACCCCTGTTTTAAACCAAGCCTGCAAAACTGTTACAGCTGATAGCAGAATTCGGGAAATGGAACAAAATAAAGCAATATCGCACCACACTGATCAAAAACGTGTTAAAATGTTTAAGGATGGTGACTTTTTGAAAGAAAATTCCAGAAGTGAACGACCATCGTTTGCCGATTACGATGGTTTTAAGCGCCAGATTGGCGAAGACATACTCACCAGCTCAGATCATCGTAAGATATTATATGTAGATCGTTATAGTGATTTTCTAAGCCCGGCTTTGATGTGGCACAAAGCCGAAAGTATGGGGCACCCAGTGAGGATCGAACTCACTACTCAGTCGTAATTGATCTAGCAAGACAAGCTTTCTAACCATTACACCACGTCGAGGTGCCCATAGTAACTTTCTAAGCCTGGCTTAGATGTGGCACAAAGGCCGAAAGTATGGGGCACCCATTGAGGATCGAACTCACTACTCAGTCGTAATTGATCTAGCAAGACAAGTTTTCTAACCATTACACCACGTCGAGGTGCCCATAGTAATTTCTAAGCCTGGCTTAGATGTGGCACAAAGGCCGAAAGTATGGGGCACCCAGTTAGGATCGAACTCACTACTCGTAGTTGATCTAGAAAGACAAGTTTTCTAACCACTACACCACGTCGCGGTGCCCAATGTAGACTGTTATATACACACCAAATGTGTACTCTAGCTGTCTTCGTATTTCTCGATATCTCATTTCTGTCTAATTCGGTTGTTTACCATTTTAACACGCGTTTCACTTCCTCTTTTCAACTTGCAAATATTACCTGAAGTATCAAATCTGTCGGTGGGCGTCAATCTGTGGTTACTTCATACTCTCCTTAATCCTACAATGGCCAAGGTGCCGATTTCGACGCCTTCACTTGTTCAATGCCGTGATGGTTTCCTATATAAAAGCCGTCGACCGTTCTAGTGATATATATTAACCTGTTACCGTATCATTTAAAACTAGTATGTTACAGATGTCGAAATCAACACTTTCATCTTTTCAAAGTAATGACTTAATGAAGAGCATTATATAAAGACAGTCGGCCGCTCCAGTATCAAGAGTTCTCTCACTAATCGAATTCGGGCAGCAGCATACGAAGAAAATTTAATTAAATGTAATTACCTTAATTAAAAGCCATTATTGAAGAGCAAGATTTGCTGTTAGTAAACTATTTCTAATTAAAGACTACAGACAGCACACTAACATATGTGATTTAAAACAAATAAACACGGCTAAGCCGTAACGGATACGGACACATCGTGAGGCGATGAGACTGATAATTAGACAGGAATCAGGAAATATACAAATTCCATGGTTTATCACGAAGGTTCGAAATATTTATCTAATCAAGTTACCCCAAGCAGTGCGGGAATGCCGGCAGAGGGGTTTCAGGAAGCGTAAGTGTAATAGAAGACTGATAATAGAAGGATTGAGGAAAGGGCAAAAGATGAACGGGATTTCAAGAAAGCAGAAGCATTTAAATTTGTGAAGATTGTAATTATCAAGGGAAGCAAGGAAACGGAAGGGAATTTCACAGGTAGGAAGTGCGTGAAAAAAAAAGAACTGTTGGAGTAGCAGTGGCGGTTTTCGTTTCGCTATCTCAACAATAAATATGTAGAACCGAGATGCCAGTCTAGTAGCACGCTTAAATTCATGTAATCCGGGCACCAGGGGAAAAAAAGCTCGTCAGAGCAGTTGACATGAAAATATTTGTAGAAAAGACAGAGGGAAGCCACGTTGGTGAGAAAGTGACTGAAGTCGAGGAGCTTGGTAAGGATCGATTACATTGCAGATTCTTATTTGGATTTTGTCAAGAATCCCAAGATGCACAGCAGGAACACCAGACTAGATATGGTAACAGTATTCAATGCACGGACGATTCCAACCAATCAAACAAACACAGAAGTTCGATATGGGTTCCGTTCTCATGCTGGGAATGACCCGGTTTAAGCAGTGCCGAGTCTTTGAAAAGCAATTTCAGAAATGACGTGTACAGCGGATAAAAAAGGCTTTAGGAGAAAAACGTTGGAATAAAGGTGCTGATTAATTAAATTAAACGGTTTATTTTGCTCGGGAACTAATTTTGTCGAAAGGCAGATAAATAATAAATTTGTATAGATTATTAAAATGACTAACGGAAGTAATTACGCATAAATTTACTAACATAAATTGAATTATCTCCCTTCCCACTACAGATGGGACAGGAAATATATAAATAAATACACTATAATTGTTATATAGCTTGATATCAAATTTAACTACCGTATTCGATGGTATATAAACCTGCAAATCATACCCTTTAATAACGATCGTAGAGTAACTAACTGCGAAAAATAGCAACAGAAATAAGACAAATAAATACTAGATAAAATTTAGTAACAATGAATATATTTCATTTTTATGTGCCTCATCCTTTCAGAAGGTAATCGATTATGACTCTCCACAACTATCTATTTGTTGTAGCTCTTAGCGATGTTTGTTCCTTCTCATTCCCTCTTCAGCTATTTAAGTAGGTTGCACGTTGTTTCTCTCTGCTCCTTTTCACTATGTCTTGTGAGTTTCAAATTCTTCGAACCCTCTTTCCTCAATGCGTTCCTGAATTTTGAACTGGCTCTTTCTGATTCTTAGTATAAGGGAATTTCGTTCCTAGTTTCTTTATAATACTCTCATTGCTCCCATGTTCAATTTATGATATTCTCAGCATCCTTCTGTAGAACCATGTCTCTGTTGTTTTAAGTCTCCACTTCAGCTATAAAGAAAGTTTCCAGCATTTATTGTCACACAGGAGGATTGATTACATAGCAATGCAGTATTTTTTTTTTATTTCTTGTTTGACACCGAAGCATGGAGGAGCATCGGAATTGTAAAAGATGCCTTCACAAATCTAAGCAAACTATTAGGAAATAATAAAGATGCTCGTATGAATAAATAAGCAATATATATTTGAAAAAAATGTTACCAGCTATAGATTTTTTTAAAAAAATATTACCAACAATAGATTTTTGAAGAAAAAAAATATTACCAGCAAGACATTTTTGGAAAAAAAAATATTATCAGCAGTAAAAATTGTGTCGACATTAAACACTCCATTGAGGTTGGTATGCCAGAAAACAAAACAAACCAAGCTAAACCAAACCAGAAAAATATAATGAACATGATAAATAAAGCATATTTTAAAAATTTCATATTGATTTTATAAACAAATAATTCATATTACAATATAAATTTTAAAAGTTTTAACAAATCAACTAGCAACGGACAAATTCGAAATATCTGTCCCCGAAAATGGCCTTTTCGTATTGCGAGGTGTGTTTCTCACACAGTCACACCCTAATTCATCCTGATGTTATTGTTATACGTATTTTATTTCACTGTTTTTCTGTTCATTATATCGCATTTGTAGTTGTATAGCAATGACTTTTAACATGAGTGAAAAAAAAACAAAAAACAAAATGAGTCAGATATCAGTCTCTCGTGGCGTAGTTCTTTGTTTCCTGGAAACTCTCCGCGTACCGGCAGACGATGGCTCGAGTATCGGAAAAAAAATTCTGAATTCCAAGTTATGGAGGTGAAGGCAATGTGGAATCAATAAACTATCTTTTCCAAGAACGCATGGCTAACTTTTGATAATAATTATACATAAACATGTGATGCTTTAAGTTATCTGAATTTCTGGGGTGAATTTATCATTCGATACATAGTCGGACTCGACATTTAACATGAGTGACTAATCGAAAAATATAACCATAATAAATATAAAACTAAACTGAAAACGTTTAAAAAAAAAAAGTCAGATATCCCGGCATTCTCTCGTCCTCAAGGTATACGGCATTTCATTTTGAGATTATCTGTACTAAACATGATATGATGTCTTATTCATTCTCAGGCCAGTCATCATTGATATAACAAGTCTTCCCAGGGTTCCTGGGACCGGTACCATATTTGTGCTATATATGAATATAATTAAAGTTGCATCTTTTTTTTTTTAATTTTATATTGATTTTATACAAGTAATACAATATTACAATATAAATTTTAAAAAGTTTTAACAAATCAACTAGCAAAGCCTTCTAACACGGACAAATTCGAAATATTTGTCTCCGAAAATAGTCTTATTGTATTGCTAGGTGTGTTTCTCACACAGTCACACACGAAATCAGCCTGATGGTGTTGTCATACGTATTTTAGTTTACTTTTTTGCTGTTCATTTTATCGACTTCAATGACTTTTAACATGAGTGACTAACCGAAAAATGTAACCATAATAATTATAAAACTAAAATGAAAATGTTTTAAAAAAAAAAAAAAACGAGTTGTGGTTCTTTATTCCCGGCAGACAATGGCTGGCGTATCACACTTTGAGTAACACTACATTAAACTACCTGCATATTCAAGCTCAAAGCACCTGGTATTCCCAAGAGGTCAATCATCTAGGTATTAACTAGGGTCGACGAAGTTTAACTTCGATCGTTTCAACGTGATATGGCCGTACACCGCATTAGACAAACAGTGTCTAATACTTTGTTATCAATTCTCAAGCAAATATATATATATATATATATATATATATATATATATATCGATATGATAAAAAAATAAAATTTAATATTACAAGACATATTAAAACAATATTAAATAATAAAAAAAATTCAACAACAAGGGGGAAGCAACCGGTTTCGCTCCCGCTCGTCAAACTTCCATGGGAGATTCAAAATTAATTAATTTTGAATTTTGAATCTCCATAGTTTTTGACGAGCGGGAAACATTTAATTGAGTTTTAATTTTATGTTATTTAATATTAAATTTTATAAATTTTATTTTTATTCGATCATTAAATTTTGTACCTACAAAAAATATCTTTAAATATATATATATATATATATACAAATCCAGTTTCATATATATTTGGTTTTATTAAAATTCTAAAATGACCTTTTTAAAAACAAAAAAATGGCCAAGAGTGGATACAGAAATAGCGGTGACAAGAGAAAAAATTATCGTTTTGACCTACTTTTGTTTGTGGGTCTTTTTTTTTTCATTACCATCGTGGGTAAGACGTTAAACTACATCCGCGTCCTGGGTAAGACGATAAACTCCATCCGCGTCCTGAGTAAGACGATAAACTACATCCAGCAGCAAGGCCTCTGATCAGGTGGTTTTGAGGAGCGTGGAACCAACTCTTAATTGCTGGTGTTCCCAGGTCCACCCTGACTCAGTGTGGTAGCACCTGTCAAGGTCCCACCTATGGGAAAATAGTTAACTATTACCAGCAATACTTTTTTGAAAAATATTATTACCACCAATACAATTTTGAAGGAAAAATATTACTAGAAACAGATTTTTGACAAAACAAAATATTACCAGCAATAAAAATTTTTGTCAGCATTAAATAACCCATTGAGGTTGATAAGCCGTAAAACAAAATAAACCAAACCAATCTACAGCAAAGAATACATATTCTATTCATATGAATCGGTCCTAAAAATGTTGTCGGCATTAAATAACCCATTGAGGTTGATAAGCCGTAAAACAAACCAAACAAAACCATTCCTTTTATTTTCCTTCAGGACGTAGGCGATCATGGCTCTCCACTTCTTCCTATCCCTTGTAGCTCTCAATAAGTTCTGTTCCTTTGCTATTTCCCCAAGCCATGTCCTGTCATCCATTTGCTTACGCGTTGCTTTTCCTTGTCTCTCTTTCCCTCTATTCGCCCTGTGAGTATCAGATTCTTCAAGCCCTCCTTTCTCATTACGTGTTCCAGAAATTTCAACTGCCTCTTCTTGATCTTAAGTATAAGGTTCCTCTTTGTTTGCATTCTCTCCAAAACCCCATCGTTGCTCACCCGCTCGGTCTATGATATCCTTAGCATCCTTCTGTAGAACCATACCTCGTTGCCTTGAGTCTCTTCTTCATTTTTGAGGAGGC